GCTCCTCTCTTTCTGTGCAAGTCTATCAGTCTAACTGTCCCAGATTAAAAACACCATAAAGGTGGCCAAACATAGCATGAGCATTAATTAGTGATGTCCTTGATTTTGAGTCAAACGTAAGTAAGGAACCCCACGCACTTTTAATAAAAATTTAATTTTACTGTGGGGTCCCTCCTACCCTTCCTACCAGACCTAAAGGGTCTGCTATAGATTATGGGGGGAGAAGGTAGGCCACGCTGTTTTTTTTTTTTTTTTTTAAATAAAAATGTAATTAAAAAAACAAAATGTCAGTCCTGTTGCAGCAGGTTCTATACATTGTACGGATGTGCAGCTTTGCAGGTAGGTTAACGCCGTGGCGGTATTCCCGAGTGTAGCTCGGGGTTAGCTTTCAGTACCAGAAGCGGTAACCCAGAGCTACACTCGGGAATACCCTGCAGCGTTGCTCCGGGATCCCTCCAGCACTTACCTTGTCCTTCGCTCCCGCAATGTCCACCCTGCAGTGTCCCCAGCCATCTCCTCTGGCCGATGCCGGCATCCGGCTTCCGGGTTCCGTTCCCTGCGAGTGTCAGGGCGTACGGGGGACAGAACCGGCGGGAAATTCAAAAATTTGACATTCACTCAATACACTAAAATCACATAGTAAAACATTACTGTTTCAACCCATTTCACATACATTTTGTCCCGAGTGCTTTGTCCGGCGCCCCTGCCTGCATTTTTACTGTTCTTTCTGCCTGGAAACTGAGAAACGTCCATGGCGTCCAAAAAGCATCCCTTTAGGTCAAAAGCGGTTTTAGATCAGCTAGAGAACAGCGATAGTAAATCAGAACCACTTGCAGAATCAAGTGATGATTCGTGGGGAAATTCGTCATCAGACACTGAAAACGATTTTGCGACTGAGCTCAGTGATGTGCGAACTTGGCGCTATATTTCAAATTTGTATTTTTGGTTTGATTATATTATTGAATTGAGTTTATTATTATTATATTATTATTTATTATATTATAATTTATGATTTTTGTTTCAAATTTTATCATACCCGGGATGTTTACTAGACTCTTGTTCGGACAGATTTAAGTGAGTTATTCCTAAGAATTACAGGCCTACAATAAAAAAACAACATATTTCCATGCAAAAAAATGTACCGCTTTGAGCACAGAAATATTGACATAATCAGACCGCTAGGGAGGTTAAGAGGACCCCCCAGGCATGATATGTAAAGGAATTTTTATTTATTTTTACTTTAAGTAATGAAAGTACTTTTTGAAATGTTTTTTTTCACTGATTCATGCAGAACTCCAAAGACATGCTGGTAGGTGAATTGGATCCTGTCTAAATTGTCCCATGTATGTATGAATGTGAGTTAGGGATCTTAGATTGTACACCCCTTGAGGGTTACGGACTGATGTGAATGTACAATATATATGTAAAGTGCTGCATAGATTGACGGCGCTATATAAGTACCTGAAATAAATAATAAATACTCGAGTCCCCATACCACTTTTATGGCCAATAACTTGCATATAAGCCTTCAAAATGGGCACTTTTGAATTTTCAGGTTTGAGTCCCATAGACTTGCATTAAGTTCGAAGTATGCGGTCGAACTCACGTTAGGTTCAAATGTTCGACCGCAAACTGAACAGGGGAGTGTTTGGCCCATCACTAATGATCTTGACCGATTTAGCAGTCGCCAACAAGTGATCTGTTATCAAATGATACAATACATACAGTATTATTTTGTATTTTGCAATCGACTGAAAATATTGATAAAAAAATATGATCAGTTATAAATATAATCAATCTGTTAAAAGCAATCTCTTCATCAGTCGGAATTCCATTCAATTCATGAAAATATTTTGTTCAGTTGATCCTAAGCAATGACAAAATTCCACCAGAGGCTGATCATCTTGGCAGAGTCAGAATCAATTGAGAGCTTCACCACTGGAATGGAGGATATTTGGCGTGCAGTTGTGATTTAATTTGATGGTTGTATTTATCGGCATGACTGGTAGGCAGAGGCTCTGTAGAGCGGGGGCTGTTTCTGTGCTCTCCCCTTAGCCTCTTTAGTCTATGGCACCAGCTGACTGAGACATATTACTGGGAGATAACACAAAGCCTTGGGCAAATCCTGTCTTCTCTTCTCCCACGAGAAATCACAAAGCATCACTTAGACATATTCAAATGAGCTTTATAATTAGATACAAGATTCCTGGGCCAGAAGTCAATGTGAAGCCTGATGCAGATCAAATTGAAGCAGATAAAAAGAAGAAAACAAATGATGCAGTTATTTATTTTATAAAACAAAAAATGAAATGCTGTTTTAGCTGTGAGTAGTGTAGCTACCTGAATTTGTCTGCCTGTAGCCCTGTACAGCAACACTCAGACTGGGAGAGGGAGGAGGGCAGCACTACGAACCAATCAGACTGCTGCATTTAGTGATGCTGCGCATGCTAACAGGTGAGAAACAGAAAAAGAGAGGGCCAGCACTAGGAGTCAGATACTGCTGCATTTACTGCCTGCTGACAGGGGGAAAAAATCAAGAGATGGAGGAGCCAATTAGAGCATGCTGACAGATAGAGAAACTGGAAGAGGAAGGGGCTGTACTACACTATATTGCCAAAAGTATTGGGCCAGCCCTCCAAATCATTGGATTCAGGTGTTCCAATCACTTCCATGGCCACAGGTGTAGAAAATCATCACCTAGGCATGCAGACTGCTTCTACAAACATTTGTGAAAGAATGGGTCGCTCTCAGGAGCTCAGTGACTCCAAGCGTGGTCCCGTGATAGGTTGTCACCTGTGCAAAAATCCATCCGTGACATTTCCTGGCTACTAAATATTCCACGGTCAACTGTTAGTGGGATTATAACAAAGTGGAAGCAACTGGGAACAACAGCAACTCAGCCACCAAGTAGTAGGCCACGTAAAATGACAGAGCGGGGTCAGCACATGCTGAAGCGCACAGTGCGCAGAAATCACCAACTGTCTGCAGAGTCAATAGCTAAAGACCTCCAAACTTGGTGTGGCCTTCAGATTAGCACAACAACAGTGCATAGAAGGCTTCATGGAATGGGTTTCCATGGCCGAGCAGCTGCATCCAAGCCTTACATCACCAAGTGCAATGCAAAGCGTCGCATGCAGTGGGGTAAAGCACGCCGCCACTGGACTCTAGAGCAGTGGAGACATGTTTTCTCGGACTGATGAATCACGCTTCTCTGTCTGGCAATCTGATGTACATGTCTGGGTTTGGCAGTTGCCAGGAGAATGGTACTTGCCTGACTGCATTGTGTAAAGTTTGGTGGAGGGTGATTATGGTGTGAGGTTGTTTTTCAGGGGTTGGGCTTGGCCCCTTAGTTCCAGTGAAGGGAACTCTTAATGCGTCAGCATACCAAGACATTTTGGACAATTTCATGCTCCCAACTTTGTGGGAAGAGTTTGGAGATGTCCCTTTCCTGTTCCAACATGACTGCGCACCAGTGCACAAAGCAAGGTCCATAAAGACATGGAGGAGCCAGTTTGGGGAGGAGGAACTTGACTGGCCTGCACAAAGTCCTGACCTGAACCCCATGGAACACCTTTAGGATGACTTAGAGCGGAGACTGTGAGCCAGGCCTTCTCTTCTGACATCAGTGCCTGACCTGACAAATGTGCTTCTAGAAGAATGGTCAAACCTTCCCATAGACACCCTCCTAAACCTTGTGGACGGCCTTCCAAGAAGATCACAGGAGTACTCAGCACTGTCTCCATTCACAAAATGCCTTGTATTTTGTAATGAATACAAGCTGTTTTCTGATTGGACTAGTGGAGATTGTGATGTCACCACCCTAGCTCATCCAATCAGAGAACATTTTGTATTAAAAAAAAATAAAATTTTTTATCATTCTGTGAAGCGAGGGAACCCCTGTGGTCAATAAGAGAAAAGGGAAAGCCACTTGGCACAGGACCCAGAAGATCACAGTGATCACTGTAGCAAAGCTGACTATTACTATGATTGTCTGCTTCCCCAGCGGTTCATCAGGTATGAGATTGGTACCAAGCTGGACCAATGTAAGTATGAAATTAAGAGCATAGCTGAAGTTCAGCTTTACCACTCGCCAGGGGCGAACTGACCATTTGGAAACTCGGGCACTGCCCGAGGGCCCGGGGTCAGTAGGGGGCCCCATGAGATGCCCCTGGTACCTTTTTCACAGGCTTTTTTGAGTTTGGGCAAGGACACAGGGGCCCCATGATCCCCTATTGCCCGGGGGCCCCATGAGTTGTCAGTCCGCCCCTGCCACTCGCTAAACTATTTCCTATCTTAGCCTGGAGCTTTAAAGAGAACCAGTCAGCAATGGATGACCCTACAATATGGAGGCACGTACAGCTTGTATAGGAAAATACTACAGAATATTAATAAAAAAAAACAAACCTACATTAAATTAAATCTGGAACATGTCAAGTGCAAAATCACATAACACTCTAATGCAAAAAGAGGCAAAAAAAAGAGAAGTAAATTGCAGTGTTTCAGGGGTATAGCAGCTCTTCTTCAAGCAGAGTAAATGTGATGATAGTATAGGAGCAGGGGTGGACTGACCATTTGGAAACTTGGGCACTGCCCGAGGGCCCGGGGTCAGTAGGGGGCCCCAGGAGATGCCCCTGGTACCTTTTTCATAGGTTTTTTTTGAGTTTGGGCAAGGACACAGGGGCCCCATGATCCCCTATTGCCCGGGGGCCCCATGAGTTGTCAGTCCGCCCCTGTATAGGAGCAATTGCCCACATTGAGCTAACTAGAAAAGATTCAGCCGATTCACAGGATCTACTTATTTCAATATCTACAGAACAGAAGTTGGCAATAAAACTTTCTAAAAATCAGTGCAATTTGTAAAATTATTGGGGTGGGGAAATTTGTTTTAGGAAAATTGGAGAGGCTTTGCAAATAGCGAACACTGATTCCCTATGGCCTGTGATAGTGCGCCCCTCTACTGCTGAAATGTAGTCACTGTATATGATATTGCTTGTTCACAGCTGCAGGTGACAGAAGAGGACCTGTGGATTCGTAGCTATGGTCGGCTGTATCAGAAGCTCTGCTCCACTACCGGGGACATACCTATCGGCATCTTTCGGACTGAAACCCACATGCTGCCAGTTTCAGAGGTATACTTTGACTCCTGCCAGCAGCAGAACCCCCGTATGTATTTATAATTGCAGATGTGCATGTAAAAGGAGTATATTCATAAAGCAGTGAATATGACCTTAATCAAACATTAAATTGGTCGTGTATCACCGCCATGCACATGGAAGATTCACCTGCAGAGAATGTTTGGTGAAGATTCACTGCTTTATGAATCTACACCAACGTGTATCTAAAGCCTTCTTTTAAATATATTTTTCGTTTTGGATTGAGTGGGGAAGAGTTAGAGCCCCTGCCAGGTAGTTTTTTCTTTTTTGCTGCCTGTGTTTTCCAAAAGATGAACTAAAGGCCCATATATCTTGATGATAAAATCACAACCAGTAAAAAAGAAATAACCAATGCGCATGGGCTAGAATATATATATATATAATTTTTTTTTCTAAATATAATTTTTTTTTATTTTATTTTTTTTAACACACGTATAAATTATATAGGAAAAATAAGATGAGCAAGAAAGTTTTAAGTTTTTCAGTGTGCCACTGTGGCATAAGAACAAAGGGATATACCAAAAATATTCTAAATCAGTTACAAATCACATGTTCACTCAGGGCCATGAATAAGGGGGTACCACCAGTACTCCTGTACGGGGCCCAGGCCAGCAGGGGGGCCCAGGCAACTTGGTGAGTTGGATGTGGGCAGGGAGGGTGATCGGCAAGGAGTGGGTGAAATTGCTGGAACCGATCCCCTGTATGGCTCTCTCTGCAGCAGCTGGAAGCTGGCTTCTTCTTCTCTCTCTCCTTCCCGCTGGCTTTCAGCTGCTGCAGAGAGAGACATACAGGGGATCATTTCCAGTAATTGCCCCTCCGCACCCATCACCCTCCCTGTGCACCATACATTTCCCCATACTTCCCCCCTGTGTGCCCCCACCCCCGCAGTGCTATTAGCTTCCCTCCTTTCCTTCCTATTAGCAGCTGCAAGCACACAGTAGGATCTTTCAGGATGGAGAGTGGGGGAAAGGTTCAGTAAATATGTCACATTCTACCAGCCCCTTTTTTTCCTGGATGAACACAATGAATGCTTGGTACTGATCACCCACTAAGTTCATCCATAACTGAAGCATAGTAAACTTTTTTTGGGGGGGGCTGTCAGGTTGGCTGCATGGGGCCCCGTGGTTTCTAACAGCAGTCCTGTGTTCACCTAAGATCACATGACCTTCAATCAAAAGATACATGTGAAAATAAAATATATATTAAACCTATAGATGTTATAATAAATAGATATTATCTACTCTTATCTATCTATAAAAAATATTCATGTATAAAAAAAAAAACAAAATATAAATATATAGAAAAAGGGACAGACAGCAAGCATATTATTACTACACATGGTTACATTTGAAAACTCATCTATCAAATATAAAATCACCTGGTTGGATCAGGGAACTCATAATTAGAGGGAGCTCGTATTTAATGCAATTAGGTGTCCGTTTATTAAACCAGTGGTAATAGATCGCTGCTCAGTTCTCCGGCATTCTCGGAGAACACAGTTCTCCTGTAAATGCAGTTTATGAAGCGGTGTAGATCAGTTCTCCAAAGGAAGGGAGAACGGTCTACAAACGCTGGAAAACGGCTGATTTTACTATAATCTCGCGAGATTACAGTAAAAGATCAGTTTACTAAGCAGAGGTAAATTATCGCTGCTTAGTTTGCGGTTCCTCCGATTCTCCAGCTCTGGGCTGGAGAATCTGGAGGGAAAACACAGATCGCCAGTGAAGGGCTGACATGGCGCCTCGCTGATCTCCTGAGTGTCATAAATTGTGAATGACCAGAGAATAGCTGCGATCCTCTGAATCATAGCTATTCTCTGTGTCATAAATGGATACCTGTATTTCTATACTTGAATCATTTTGAGTAAAGTACAAGCTCCCTCTAGTGGACTGCCAGTTTATGAGTTTCCTAATCTGATCAGGTGATTTTATGTTTGCTAGTTATTATTATTATTATACAGGATTTATATAGCGCCAATAGTTTGCGCAGTGCTTTAAAAAATAAAAGTAGATATTACAGTTACAATACAATTTGGTACAAGAGGAAACAGAGGGCCCGGCTCGTTAGAGTAAGATCAGTTTTCAGATTAAATCATGTGTAACATGCTTCGTTTTTATATATATATTTATTGTGATTTTTGTATATCGAAATGTTTATATAGATTTTATTTTTACAGTCACATTTATCTTTTGAGTGATGATCATGTGCTTTTAGACAAACGTCATTTTTCTAATGTACCGTGTGATTGATATGAAATATTATTTGTATATACATTTGTTGAATGCAGGGGAGGGAGTACATGGAACCCACCCACTTTATTTGGGCCCAAGTAGTTTACTACCCCCTGTTTTGGCGGTTTTCCTACGCACACTTATTTACTTGGTTCTATACAAATTATAAATGTAATAAGTGATTATAACCCTTTGTCTATACCTGAATTTAGCCAATAGTGTAAATATTAAAAGATAACCACTGTGCAAAAAATAAAGATCTAATTTATTTACACAGCAAGGAAGCTTTCTATTAATCAAATACAACAAAAATATAATACAGAATGTTACCAAAACAAAGACTACAAAAAAGAAATAGTTACAAGAAAAAGACAGAGCAATGGTGATATATTACAGCCATCCTGATGTTCTGAGGTCTGTGCTGTGGAAGGCACATGGCACAAAAAGGGAAGGGCTCTTTTGTTTTTGTTGTTTTATACACTTTCCAAAAGACCATCCCTAAACCCACCCACCCAAGTAAATCACACCTCAAATGGGTGGGCTTCAGAGCAATGATCAGTTTAAATAAAAGAAAGAACAGGAAATTCAAGTTGCCTTCCATCCCTCTCAGCTCCATTGAGTCTTTTGTAGTGTAATCCCCCAACAGTCAAACTAACCTTCATGAAGATGTAGGCCCAAAATTGCCATTACACCCCTGCCTGCTGAATAGAAAATTGTTTTTTTCATTAGTGGAAGTCACTGTAGCCTGTAGATGGCAGTGTGCCTCCGTTTAGTACTATAATTGTCTGATACATTTATAGTATTTAAAAAAAAAAAATTTACATACATTGTTTAGTTGGGCAAAATAGTAATAGTCAAGTTAACCTATGTATCCCGCATTGCTAAATTTGGCCTAAGCATTAAGGCTCCAGTGACCCCTGGGCCAGAAAGGGTTGAAAGCTTTAAAATAAAAACTTCTCTCACATTCACTAATTATTTTAAAAAGTAATTTTAAAAAACTTACAAGGTAATTCACAAAAGTTGTTATTCTATGTTGCCCACTGTGTGCTGGGACTGCTTTTCACTGGAAAATCGTGTCTAAAGTTCGCTGAATAGTTAACTGTGACATTCAGTCTAATAATTGGAGAACATGATTCTGTGAAATCCCATACTCTGACAAGATAAATCATTATGTTGTTGGAAAAACAGTAACAATCCAGGCTAGAGTGTTATCTGTGGCTGAATAAATTGGACATTTTTATGCATTATTGGGCCCCAAAAAATATTCTAAGCAGTATATGGTAGATTAAAGCCTATGACAAGGCAAAATTAAAAAAATGAACTGTTGGACCTTAACACCAAAACCTGCCTTTGCACTATTGTAACCCTCCTCTCTCTGAAATGCAAAATGCTGATTTTTTTTTATTACCTTGTCAGTTTTGTATTCATGCTCCAGCACTCCACCTCCCTCCATTCTCACGTCATCTTGCATTTGGTGGTTCCTGGGACATGCACATCACATATCCCAGGAGACAGTGGCTTCCACACACTGTGGCAGGGGGGTTGGACCTGACGGTGTGTCATCAGGGGCCAGCTGCAAGAACTCCAAAGAAACAGCCAGCTCCTGATGACATCAGAAAGGAAGGTGGTGGTGCAGGACCCGTTGTCAGCAGAGAGGTGGATCACAGCGGCAACACTGGATTTGCTGTGTGAGTATATTTATTGAAGTTAGATTGTAAGCTCCAAGGAGCAGGGCCCTCCTGGTACCAGGGGCATCTCATGGGGCCCCCTACTGACCCCGGGCCCTCGGGCAGCGCCTGAGTTTCCAAATGGTCAGTCCGCCCCTGGGTGTGATCCACTGCTCTACACCTCACACCAGGTCCAACAGCACCAAGGGACCAACACTTTCTGTGTTTTCTCAAAGAGCGTTCCTCGTTTGTATCTTGGACTACAGAATTATTAGCTTTTATGCTGTAGAGATCAGAGAGTGAGAGAAGTTGAGTAGTTTAGCAAAGGACAATGGTCAGGGCTGACACCATGCACATCACAAAAATGCTGTGTATTGTAAACCCACAACAGAACTTCTTTTCAATCCTGACATACATTTTCCGTTGGGTTATCTTCAATTATTATTATTATTATACAGGATTTATATAGCGCCAACAGTTTGCTCAGCGCTTTACAATATAACGGGAGACAATACAGCAACAATACAGTTCAATACAAGAGGAGTTAGGAGGGCCAGGGGCAGACTGACCATTTGGAAACTCGGGCCTGAGGGCCCGGGGTCAGTAGGGGGCCCCATGAGATGCCCCTGGTACCTTTTTCATAGGCTTTTTTGAGTTTGGGCAAGGACACAGGGGCCCCATGATCCCCTATTGCCCGGGGGCCCCATGAGTTGTCAGTCCACCCCTGATCACAACACAACACTGGATTTGCTGGGTGCTTGCATATATTAATTGGAGATAACCCACTGAAAAGATATGTCAGATTTGAAGAGGAAAAAAAAGCACAGGGGTTATGTTCCTCTTTAGGTTCTTCTTCGTCCTTTTTATGTCTTGTTGTGGGCTGACAATTCACAGCATTTTTGTCAATTGAGTGTCAGCCCTGGCCATTTTCTTTGGCTAAACTGCTGAACCGCTGTCACTCCGATCTCTACAGCATAAAAGCTAATAATTCTGTAGTCCAAGATAAGAACTAGGAGGGCTGCTTGAGATAACAGGAAGTGTGAAAAGGACACTGGACAGACCAACAGTGGTTTTCACTTTCTAAAGAGTACAAATAAGAGAAGATCATTGTTTGGGTTTCCATACACTTTAGCTCTCACCTGTTTGTGTGCATGTATAGTTTATTGGGAGTTGATTTTGCTGATAAATACTTTGACGAATGGCGGGGTCAACCTATGAAAGTTAACAAACTCTCTCATACATCAACCATCTCTATTATTGCAGTCACAGGTCTCTATAAGTGTGGAGGACTATGAAGACACAAGGGAGACTCGTTGGGGAGACACAATCCAAAGCCGAGGCCCACACCGCAACTCCACCTCTAGCGATCAGTCTGATCACCCATTACTGCGCCGGAAGAGTATGCAATGGGCTAGAAGGCTAAGTCGCAAAGGAGCAAAGCAGCCTGGGAAATCAGCTTCTGAAAGGATCAGCCAGCAGAGAATGAGCCTCTACAGACGGTCAGAACGCCAGGAGCTCAATGCATTGGTGAAGACCAGGATGAAGCATCTGGGTCTCTCCACAGCAGAGTACAGTAAGAGATATATATTATCTATGTAGCTCTACCTCTTAGGAGTCATTGAAGATTTGGGGTCTCCCTATAGTCCTGCACAGCCATGCAACATACATTTCCTTCAGACCTTGCACACAGGAGACAGTAAACAGTCCTTGAGCTTGTTTTTTTTTTATTTTATTGAGGGGTATTGAACTTGGATGAGGTAGAGGGATGCCCAGGGTAACTATAAACTGAGGACAAACTCCTTAATAACTATGTACAAGTTTTTTTTTGTTTTTTTTTTTAAGTCCGCAAACGTGCAAACTACAACGAAAAACCCGTAAGTGAACACAAAAAAAGTGCAAGTGCGAACACCACACGAAAAAGTGCACTTAGGGGTGTGTTTGTCCTACCCCCGAAGGGGTTGGACCGTTACCCTGATCCCCCGGGGCACGAAGCTCCTGACAGGGACAAGGTTCCCATTTGGTCCTCCTGGCCAAAAGGCCTGGTGGACCACCGTTCCTTATGCCCAGCCGAAGCCGGACATCCAGTACTAGGTCAGGGGGTTCTCCCGAAGAGAAAACCCCCTAGGGATCAGGGGAGGAAGGAACCAAAAGGCCACACATCCTCCCCCTAGACTTCAGGGTAGGCCCGAGGACCCACACCCTCCATCCGTGAAAAACACACACATAAGTAAAGCAAAAAGTGACAAAACGTGGGAGGTGAATAAATTAAATAAATAGAAAATAAAAAAGTGGTACCGTGCCGAATTGTGCACAGACCAGGCCCTGAGGCCCGTAGCAAAAATTGCCCTGGACTTAGCCAAAAGACCTGGTCCTTAGGGCGCTGTGCAAAAAGAGGTGAAAAACAGTGGCCATGTGTCATCTTCACACCGTGGGGTCCCACACCCAAGTGTTACTAGTGACACCCCTGAGAGGGTCTTCCTCAGGGGGCACTGAGTTTGCGGACTTTTTGCGTCCCCAGCCCCTGGCCAGACCAAGGTAGATCCGTCCGAATCAAAAGGTACTGGGTCTTTCCAGCTTTCCCAGAGGAATTACTTTGTACTAACTATGTACAAGTCCATTAGACAAAAAAATCTTTTTCTTTGAGAGCTATCCAGCCTCTCCCGATGTGCCACCGAAGAACCCCAGATGAAATCTCCTCTTCACCCAGCTGCCTGAGGGAATCCCTGTGCAATGGGACCCAGAATCTGCCACTTTAGAATCAGCAGTCCCAGATGGGGGTTAGTCAGGCTTCCCACCAGAATGCCCCCTCCCCTTATCTGGCCCAGGGTGTGTGGGATTAATTACTCAGTCCTCTCCTGCAAGCTTGTGGGTTGGTGGCTGCCTTCAGACCTTAGTGCCCGTTTACATATATGCTGATTGGATGCAGTTTGCATCCAATCCGCATAACATTGCTTCCTATGGTGCCTGTTATGTCCGGTGCACTGGCAGTGCAGATTCTGTGCACATTCAGTGTGGTTTTAAAAAGAGTCAGGTCCAATTTCTGAGCAGTGCGGTCCGGTTCAGGTGCGGATTACAGGCTATTGATTTCTATAGGAACCATTTCTAAACCACATATGTGTGAACATAAGATCCTGAATTGATCTTGTCCTGAACCTGATGTAAACCTGCCGTGAACCTGTGAACAACTACTGTATCGACTAGCAGTGAAACCTGAGCTTCAATCTGCACCGCACATGTGTGAATCAGCTCCTACACTGGGCTGGCTCCTTCCCTGCTTCCTAGGTTGTCCTCTCTCAGGGCACAATGAAGCTGAGAGATACTCCCTTCCAGCTCCTCTACCTGCAATTAAGCCCTTCTCTTGGACCCCCTACCTGGCTCCACACTTAATCCTGCTCACTCCATCTTCCACCTCCAGGCTCAGTCATTCTTCAGGGCTGTCCAAGCCTCCTGCACAGGGATTGGTCAGGATCCCTTAAGAGTGAAGACCAGCTCCTCCTCACCCCCACCCACTGAGTTCTAGAGACTTCTCCAAGTCTCTAGAGCCGATCTGCATAGCCTCTCAGCTTTGATCCAAGTTTGACCACCTGACTATTTCTCCCTGGCTGCTACTCGGCCTTCTAACTAAAAAAATAATCATCTAGCTCCCTCTAGCTAACTAGAAGGGTGCTACATCCTCCTATCCCTCTTGTATCCCTCCTATCCCTCTTGTATTCCCCTCCCTCTTAGATTGTAAGCTCCAAGGAGCAGGGCCCTCCTATCCCTCTTGTATTGAACTGTATTGTTGCTGTATTGTCTCCCGTTATATTGTAAAGCGCTGAGCAAACTGTTGGCGCTATATAAATCCTGTATAATAATAATAATTAACCATAGAAACTGGCACTGGATACAAACAAGTGGGAGCTGTGTGACATGGGAGTCTGATGCCCCCATGCCAAGGTTAAGTTGACTATATACGTTTCCATCAGATATTATAAGTTCTATACAGTCTCATTTAGAATTGATCAAAATTGTCTTCGGTAACAGCCTTCCTAAACCACTGATTCTCAAATGCCAGGCTGCAGCCTGCTGCCAGGCCACTGCCTCCACGACATTTATTTATTTATTTATTTATTTCAGGTACTTATATAGAGCCATCAATTTACGCAGCGCTTTACATATATATATTGTACATTCACATCAGTCCCTAACCCTGAAGGGGTGTACAATCTAAGGTCCCTAACTTACATTCTGTCTTTTCCAACAGCTACTACTGTAACACAACATATGGCAAAGACAAGCACAATAGTTGTAATAGCAGTCTGCGGTCACTAGATTGTGCTCCATATTCCAATGCTCACAAAATGATATAAGCACACTGTATGGAAATTTTCAATTGACCAATTTCATTTTCCAGCAATTAAGTTTTATCTTTTAGATTAATATATTAGTCTAGCAAAATGCACAAAACTAACAAAACAGACCTTCTTTGAATATTTATTACACTTATCAAACGGCACACACTCTCAACCACAGGCTGGTACACCAGGTATATAAATTAAATATACTGATCAAATTGAATGAATGATTTTGATCATTAAAGTTTTTGTGCTGATATACTGTACTATTATAAGTTTTTTTAAAATTATTATTATAACTTTTTTATTTGTATTATAACTTTTTTTTTTTTTTTTTTTAATGGTTGAACTGGATAGACTTTTGTCTTTTTTTCAGCCAGACTAACTATGTAACTGTATATATTAGGTCACCTGCTCAGTGAATATTAACACATTTGTGGAATTTAAAATAAACAGGCATACATAGAGGTCTACTTATAAAACGTTTTTTGCACGAATGTCAGAAGCATTTGCGTAAACTGAAAGAAATGTCTCCGTAATTTTTGTAAGAGATTATTTCCTGTACCATCTGCTTTATCTAATGGCCAAATGTGATATAATATTCTCATTGAGGTGTTTCCAGAAACAATACCAAATTTTGGATACTGGGTGACACTAAAGAAACAGACATTAATCTCTTACACAAATTACAGTGACATTTCGATCAGCTTGCACGAATGCCTCTGACAATTACACAACAAATATTTTATAACTAGACCCCTTAGTAAATAGCTGTGGAAATAAAGGGGTTCATATCATGGGTTCATGCTCCCAAATGGGGCCGTACAGGCTGTGCACCTGTTGATGCGAACAGGTAATTGTGACTACATACGAACAGCCATGGACATTGTCAGCCTATCATTGATTTGTAGAGTCTGCTAATTGGAAACACCAGGCTGTACCCTCTGCCGAAATATGTTGATCTGGGTGGTGTACAGCCCTAGTAAGCCATGTGCATGAACCCTAAATTTAGAAGATGCTATCCTAGGGCTGTATGTACTGGTATACATTAAATTATACCAAATGAAAGCTGACTACTTTAGGGGGACAATATTCATTAATTTAGAACTTACGGTACATACAGTATATTGTGTGTGTGTGTGTGTGTCTATATATACAGTATCTCCCAGAAGTGAGTACACCCCTCACATTTTTGTAAATATTTTATTCGATCTTTTCATGTGACAACACTGAAGAAATGACACTTTGCTACAATGTGACGTAGTCAGTGTACAGCTTGTATAACATGTAAATTTGCTGTCCCCTCAAAATAACTCAACACACAGCCATTAATGTCTAAACCACTGGCAACAAAAGTGAGTCCACCCCTAAGTGAAAATATCCAAATTGGGCCCAATTAGCCATTTTCCTTTCCTGGTGTCATGTGACTCATTAGTGTTACAAGGTCTCAGATGTGAATGGGGAGCAGGTGGGTTAAATTTGGTGTTATCATTCTCAATGAAAATGTCCATATTGGGCCCAAAGTGTCAATATTTTGTGTGGCCACCATTATTTTCCAGCACTGCCTTAACCCTCTTGGGTATGGAGTTCACCAGAGCTTCACAGGTTGCCACTGGAGTCCTTTTCCACTCCTCCATGATGACATCACAGAGCTGGTGGATGTTAGAGATCTTGCGCTCCTCCACCTTCCGTTTGAGGATGCCCCACAGATGCTCAGTAGGGTTTAGGTCTGGAGACATGCTTGGCCAGTCCATCACCCTTACCCTCAGCTTCTATAACAAGGCAGTGGTCATCTTGGAGGTATGTTTGGGGTCATTATACTGCCCTGTGGCCCAGTCTCCAAAGAGAGGGGATCATGCTCTGCTTCAGTATGTCACAGTACATGTTGGCATTCATGGTTCCCGCAATGAACTGTAGCTCCCCAGTGCCGGCAGCACTCATGCAGCCCCAGACCATGACACTCCCACCACCATGCTTGACTGTAGGCAAGACACACTTGTCTTTGTACTCCTCACCTGGTTGCCGCCACACACGCCTGACACCATCTGAACCAAATCAGTTGATCTTGGTGTCATCAGACCACAGGACATGGTTCCAGTAGTCCATGTCCTTAGTCTGCTTGTCTTCAGCAAACTGTTTGCAGGCTTTCTTGTGCATCATCTTTAGAAGAGGCTTCCTTCTGGGACCAGTCATGCAGACCAATTTGATGCAGTGTGTGGCGTATGGTCTGAGCACTGACTGGCTGACCCCCTTCCCATTCAACCTCTGCAGCAATGCTGGCAGCACTCATACATCTATTTCCCAAAGACAACATCTTGATATGACGCGGAGCACATGCCCTCAACTGCTTTGGTCGACCATGGCGAGGCCTGTTCTGAGTGGAACCTGTCTTGTTAAACCGCTGTATGGTCTTGGCCACTGTGCTGCAGCTCAGTTTCAGGGTCTTGGCAATCTTCTTATAGCCTAGGCCATCTTTATGTAGAGCAACAATTCTTTTTTTCAGATCCTCAGAGAGTTCTTTGCCATGAGGTGCCATGTTGAACTTCCAGTGACCAGTATGAGAGAGTGAGAGCGATAACACCAAATTTAACACACCTGCTCCCCATTCACACCTGAGACCTTGTAACGCTAATGAGTCACATGACACTGGAGAAGGAAAATGGCTAATTGGGCCCAATTTGGACATTTTCACTTAGGGGTGGACTCACTTTTGTTGCCAGCGGTTTAGACATTAATGGCTGTGTGTTGAGTTATTTTGAGGGGACAGCAAATTTACATGTTATACAAGCTGTACACTGACTACGTCACATTGTACCTAAGTGTCATTTCTTCAGTGTTGTCACATGAAAAGATAGAATAAAATACTTACAAAAAAATGTGAGGGGGGGACTCACTTCATGGGGGATACTGTATATATATATTTATTTATTTTAACTTGTGTTTCTTTTTTTCTTGTAGTGGACATAATGGATACAGATAATTCACTATCTTATATTCTTATAAATCCTCCTCCGGATACCAAGCTGGAACTTAATGATGTTGTGTAAGTGTCAGAATCTTTTCTTGGTTCTTCACTGTGCAGTTCATTTTTATGCTTTAGCTCAGTATAGCATTGGGTGACACCGTACAGGTCCTGCTTCAGAGCTACTGAGGTTTGGGATCATGTGCTTAGCCATTCAGTAGAAGGACTGCACCATACAGTAAATGCTGGCCAACCATGCAGCTCACAGTTAATGCAGCATGAAACAAACAGTTCAGTGATTGTTGGTGTGTACTAAGCCATTCAGCTCTATACACTTCCCATACACTGGCTTCCGGTAGGCAGTGCCCTGGGCACGTGGCACTTCTTAGCGATCATTAGCTTTTCTTCTTCCAGCCACTTGAAGAATAATAGGAAACACCTAAGTTGCATTGTCGATATTCCATGGGATAGACAAAGACAAATATGACCAGTTTCTGATAGCTTGCAACGTACTTTCTAGCACTTCGTATAGGGTTGCATCTATACCGTTTATAACTGCTGAGTACAAGTACCAATACTTTTGCTCAAGTACTCACTGATCCCAAATACTGATACCATTGCAGTGCGATTTGAACCCATACAACATTAATAGGTTCAAATTGCACTGCAAAGAATCACATGTGATTTGAACAGGAATGTGGTGCGATTCCTATCTGAATCACATGCAGTTTCCCACACCACTCCTGTGTGAACCCAGGCTTGTCATAGTGCGGTGGGGGAAACTGCACAAGATTCAGACAGGAATCGCACTGCATTCCTGTTCAAATTGCATATGATTCTTTGCAGTGCGGTCTGAACCTATTCAGTTTGCATAGGTTCAAATTGCACTACAATGGTATCGGTTTCAGGTACCAGAGTATTTGCACGAATACGAGTACTCATGCAAATGCTTAGTATTGGCACAAATATCAATATTGGCATCGGTGCAACCTTAATTTCATGTTTTTTTTGTGCCTCTGGTGGCCATCTAGTAGATGTCTAGAGCATCCTTTTTCAGCCAGGGTGCCCAGGCACCCTGGGGTGCCTTGATGTTTCTTCAGGGGTGCCTTGGAAAAATGTCTAAAAATTGCCCATAAACATGTATACAAGCCAGCGGGTGGAACAAGCCTGCCTTTTAGTTACACAAAGCCACAGGTTTTCATTGTGCACCATTACGACCTTCTAGCCGCTGGCATTTTGACAACCAATGACATCATTGGTTGATAAGGTTGATGTCGGCTGCCTGCAGAGCATCCTTGTTTGACCCTCCCCTGCCCCTCTCCATCAGTGCTGGGGTCACATTAGTTCAGTGATGGAGAAAAGAAACATTGGAATACTAGTCGGCACAAGTGTGCAAAGGTAAATGCTTTGGAAAAATAAATCACCTCTAACATTGGGTGTCCTACCTATGTGGTGTTGCTGCATTATAGAAAACTATTAGAATTTTTTTTACATTTTAGAATGGGGTGCCTCAAGACTGTCCATAATTTTAGAGGGTGCCTTGAAATTGTCCATAATTTTAAAGGGTGCCTTGACTGAAAAACAGTTGAGAAACACTGATCTAGAGATTTTTTGTGTCCATATCATCCTGATGTGTAACATAGTGTAAAAGCCTTTACCAACCTCCCAACATCACAAATTGGTGGTAAATTTATGGTTCAGTGTTTCATTACCTACCTAAACTTCCATTCAGACTTCAGATGCTGGATAACCCTGCTGTAAGCAAATACAATTATTTCATCGTTTCAGGTAATAAAGTGCCAGAGAACTTCTATCTACTTGTGGCTGGGTCATCCAGCATTTGAGGTCCGAGTTGATCATCTCAATAGAAAGTTTAAACCAGAAACATTGCTGAACTACATAAATGAAAATATTTGCCATTGCCTTACCTAAACCCAACAACTCAAGCCACCAGCTCACCCTGTCTCATGGCCAATGGTTCCTAGTTTCCACCTGTATTTGCTATTATCAGAGGTATTCACTGATGATTCTCTTTGATGATTCTCTAATCACTTTAAATATTAGCTGAAGGCAACCAATGAAGTGACATGTCTTTGGTTCTATATTGGCAGCACCTGTAGGTGGTGGACTGAATGTTGTGCAATCTTGGAGATAGGAAAGCTAGGCTGGTTTCCTTAGGCACACTCTCTACTCAAACTATTGTAAAAGACAAAATCTACATGGAAAGAAAAATCTATATTAGACATGTACAGTCCGTTTAGTTCCATTAGTCTGTTATTCAGAGATTCGGATGTATCCGAATTTCCGAGTTACAATAGTAATGAATTTAAAAAAATATGAAATAACAAAAATAAAATTTGAATCCAGAATAATGAATTATCCGAATTCAAATTGAATTTGAAACAAATTAGGAAACAAAATTGAATTTGAAAATGAATTAGAAATGTAAACACATTGCTGATTTCTTTCAAAGACTGTGTGTATTAGAATATAGCCATCTTCTAAAATTTGAATTTTAAAAACAATAGACTAAAATAGAATAGAAAATAAAGGATTAGAATAGAAAAAATAGAATAGAAAAAAATGGAATAGAAAAGAAAAAAGGATAGAATAGAAAATAGAGAGAATAGTCATCTTGCAATAATTGAATTATAAAAAGAATAGAATAAAACAGAATAGAATACAAAGTAAAATAATAGAATAGATTATAAAATAATAGAATGTAAAGAATATAGCCATCTTCCAAAATTTTAATAGAATTGACCCAGTTATTCTTCACAATGAATTCCTGTTGGTTCGATATTTTCCATTCTAACGCAATTTGAATGCTTCTGATTCACTGAAAATTTTTGAATCTGGTTGAAAGCAAACTAAACTAAACTAAACTAATTTCCTTGAGAATGCAATGAAACAAAATTAGTAACTTGTCAAATCGAAACAAAATTATTTTTTTTATTCTGTACATGTCTATTCTATATATATGTAAAGAGGATTTGTCACTTTTCCCAGTCTAGGCAAAGTTACCAGCTCTTTTGACAGGCTACCCTTTTCCTCCCATTAAAACAAACTTTTCCAACTCTCCAACACCACTTCATTTATCTGGAACACAACATGGGTATCACTGGGGGAGAACAGGGGGGTGATGACTTGTCAAGAGAACCTGTCACTTTTACTGAATAAGCAAAATGGCAGCCTTGCTTTAACCACTTGCCGTCCGCCTGCTGTTTATAAACGGCAGGGCGGTGGCAGTCCAGGGGCGGGTTGCCGTTCAGAAACGGCACCCGCCTTTTCTAGCTGTGCGTGCTCCCTGGGAGCGCGCAGCACCGCGATCTGGTGCCCGCTGTGTCCTCCGGACACAGTGAAACACCGATCGTCGGACAGGACCTCTGTACGAGGTCCCGATCATGTGATCACTGATTGGCCAATCAGTGATCACATGCAAAGTAGTAAGCAAGATGTCACTAGTGACATCATGGCTTACTACGTGTGAAATCTGTGAATGATCACGGAGGTCACATGGTACAAGGCTATTCACAACAGCCTTGTACCATGTGACAAGCTGTGACCAATCACAGCTCACTCAGTACTTCTCAATGACTGCAAGAATGCAGACAGAGAGAAAGAGAAATTATTGCTTTTACATCTTATATGGGTGTAAAAGAAATCAGTGTAAAAAAAAATAAAATCTTCATCACCCCCCACAAGTAGTACAGTGTCACCATGGTGACACTGTACTGCTAGGGTGACAGTATGTAAAAACAAAAATAAAAAAATAATATAAAAAAAAAATAAAAATGTAAAAATGTTTTTTTTTTTTACTAAAAAAATAACGGAATACATTTTGGCCAAGATTTATGATGAAATATTTATTTATTTGCAAAATTTTATTTAAAAAAACACTTTTTTCAAAAATTTTGGACTTTTTCATTTACATAGCAAAAAAAATAAAAATCCCAGCGGTGAATAAATACCACCAAAATAAAGCTTTATCTGTCTCAAAAAAATGGTATAAAAATTCATATGGGTACAGTATTGCATGACCGCGCAATTGTCATTCAAAGTGTGATAGCGCTGAAAGCTGAAAATTGCCCTGGACAGGAAGGGGGTAAAAGTGTCCGGACTGGAAGTGGTTAAATGCATATGCAGTACAAGCAACTGAACACATCTTACAGCTTCTGCTTGCAGTGAGAGGACATCAAGGGGTTTAAATATTTCCACATCAAGCCTTTTCCTCTTCCAGATTGCCTATTGCCTTTTTGAATCTTTTTCTTTTTTTTGTCATCTCTCAGCTTTCAGGTCGCATTTTCCCATTCCAACATTCTGTCTTCTGCGTGATGTTATGTTGTTTCTTAGTATCTTCATGAGCTCTTTAAAAAAACTCAATGTCATCTTGGCTTGGAATGTCTTTCATATCTTCGACTTTATTGTCTGCTTGTCTTTGCTTCCTTTTTTTCCTTTTGACAATTTTCTTTTTTCTTGTCTCCTCGAGCTTCATCTTGTTGTCTCATATGTTATACTTTGATGCTATTGTAGCCCTCACCCCCCGAAAAGCCACTGACTTGTATTAGGCCCCTTCTGCCCTGCAGCTGAGATGGCCCACCCTTACCTGGACCCAAGAACACTGACACACCTGTAATACATTTTTAAAAAGCTTTTGTTTAAAGACAAAGCCCTAAAATGGAATGAGTTACTTAGACAATAATGTTCTATAAATATCACAGAAATGCAGTTACCTTGTTATATATAGTGCAGCAATACGAATAGCTTTTGTAACAGCAATACAGCCTACCTACTGCAGAGATGCCTTACCTACACACTAGCCAGTGGGACAATGTAGGGAGTCTGCCGGCCATTGGGCCATGCTTTGGAGTGCTCAATTAGATATACAAGATGGTGACCAGAGGCTTCTCACCACAAATGGCTCTGGTTCTGAGTGGTCCCTCAGTGGCTAGCAAAAGAGTCCTCCCTCCCAGGCCAGCTCTCTGCAGCTGTAGCAGGTGTTGGCAGCTAAAACACATTGGGGTAGATTTACTAAAACTGGTGCACTCAGAATCTGGTGCAGCTGTGTATGTAGCCAATCAGCTTCTAACTTCAACTTGTTCAATTTAGCTTTGGCAATAAAACCTGGAAGCTGATTGGTTTCTATGCAGAATTGCACCTAATTTTGCACTCTCCAGTTTAGGTAAATAAACCCAATTGTCTCTCTGAATACGTGGAATAAAAGCCACTGGAACCTACTTTGGAACTACTACTGGAAACTATTTGGAACAAGATCAATTCAACCGGGGACCCAGGCAGCTGACAAGTAGAGGGAAGAAGACTGTAGACAGGAGGGGGTGATCCCTGAAACCGATCCCTCTCTATGCAGCACAGGAGGCTTCTTCTCCTCTCCCTCACACCACCTTTCAGCTGCTGCAGGGAGAGCCACATGGGGATCAGTTCCTGTAATTGCCCCCCTGCAGCACCAATCACCCTCCATGTCCATGATCCAACTCCTCCCTCTTCCCGCAGCTCTGATTCCCTTGTTTGCCGCCCCACCTTGCAGCACTTCCGACTTCTTCTCCTGTCCCTCCCACCAGCTGTCTGCTGTTGCGGGCACACAGGGGAATTGTTTCAGGATGGAGAGTGATGGCAGAGGTAAACATGTTTGGCCCCTTCCTTTCCTGAGTGAACACAGTGAGTGATCAGTACATTTTTGGTCAGCCGTCATCCACATCAACATGTATTTCCTGGACTAAGATGCCAGATCAGATATAACACAATCATGTAAATCCTGGTGCCTGTGTAATTCTTGGTTTTCTCACGCATATTTGACACCAATCAGCACCTGCAGCAGCTTCATTGTGCTATGCTACAAAGTTACAATGTTGTAGTGTGATCACTGGAGAAGAGGAGACCATGAAAATAGTTCCTCCTGCCTGCAACTAACGGAAGACATCATCTCAGCCTAGGCAGGATCACTGTTTGTTTACTGTGACATCTCAGGAATGTATTAATGCAGACTTTTGCAAATTTGCACTTTAAAGTTACAGCATCCAGCTAGACTGAATCTGAAGATCCCAGTGTGCCTGCACCAAATACACCAAACCAGAAAATGCAAACGAATGTATTATAATGGGGAAAAAAAGTGCACTAAATGTAACTATTTAATCACAGTTTAGAGTCAAGGATCGCACATTGAAGAGGTGTCCTCATGTGGCACTGTGGCTTCTTGTCATGAAAATTCAGTAGTTAGTTTAATTGCCCTGGCTAGCTGGATTGAGCACTGGAGAATTTTTGAAATGTTAAATACATTGCTGACCCACGTGCGCCAATGGATAATCTGAACCTTGAAGAATTAGGCTGATCACTAATTGATCCACCAGCAAATTGATCTTCTTGGTCATATTTTCATCACACCAATCATATTTTAACCTGCCTTTTGAATGTGATTGGACTTCAGGAAGTACACTCCCAATCATCCTGTGAGGTGATTTTTGAATTCTGTTTGTAGTAGGTTACAAAAAATTTAGATGAGGGTAAACCCATATTAGTGTGATTTCTGGCTTTAGCTTAGATGCATTGTTTGCAGAATAGCAATAATGACTGATTGGATTCATCTGTTGGCTGGGATGGCTGTTTAATATTATACCACATATTATTTTCACAGTTACCTGATCCGTCCTGATCCTCTGACCCTCGCTCCCGGCAATGCCAGAAAGGCGAGCGTCACGCGTACTGAGGTCCCGGTTTATGATACCAAGGATAGCACTCATCTATGAACCATCATCAGGGTGATGATGAGAAGAGTATAGCAAGAAGAAGATGTGAGGAAGCAAAGCCTCCTGTGAGCCAAGGATTCCGTGTCCATCTTGATTCCATCGCTACCTCCCAACCAAATACGGGAAACCTATGTACACGGCTTCTTGCTACATATATTCCATGGCTTGCTTTAGCTCCTTCTATTTTGTTCTCTAACTTCTCCTGTGTTGTCAGCTCTTTGATGAAGACTATCAGGAAGGCTATGGTATGGAGCAAGATAAAGGAGGTAGAATTTGACTAGTTCTGTATAATGATTAGCCAATCTCAGACATGCCAAGTAATTCTTTCCATTTGCTCAGGTCTAAAGTTGCACTACAGTAGCCATAGAGTATATCATGTCAAACCCATAGGGTATATAATTTTAGGTCCTACTGAAACAGATTTTACAATTCAAAGTTTGATTATCAGACCCAAGATGAGAACTGAACAGGTCTTGCCTTTTTTTTAGCCTCAGTAGTGTAAAATCTGTTATATGGGCCCATATATCTTTATCCCAAAGACAAGGCCAAGGTCTAGACATGAATGGCCCAGGTTGCTATGCTGACCTTTGTATAAGTGGTGTTGTGTCACCTTTTTTCTTGATGTGCTAGTGGTAGATTTAGCAGCTGACCTAAAGGTAGTTCTGAATAAGATTCAATCAATTTTGTTTAGTCTTTACTGCTCTGTATAACTCTGCTTACCTTAGGTGGGGATGGAGCACCCATTAGTCAATCAGATCATCAGAGTGCTGGCTGTGAATGCCAAATTATCATAATTGTGAGGGAAGACTTGGATTTCATGTTTTTTTGATAGGTTTGAGAAAGACAATGAAGGCAAGATAGGAAAAAATTACATTTAATAGTATCTTTGCACATAAACATTCTTTAAGCCAACTTGTACAACTTTATGTTCTGTTCCAAAATTACAGCTATCAAAGATTTGGGGTTTACTCATGTGCAATATTCCTCAAATTTATGTTACATATCCACCCTGTTCGATGTTTGAGATACACCCAGCACTTAAAGCCTAGGTGTGTCCTACCATAAAGGAACTGATCCTAAATTGAGCCATTCCTTGTATATATACACATGATATAGTATATGTAATTCATTTTGATGCTGAATACCATAGGATAAATTGTTCCATGTATTGGAGTTTGGTGGTGCAGAAAGATTGTGCATCTCCTCCTTCCCTACTTAACGATATACCTATATTTTTACACTTCTGCAATAAGAAAGTTCATTATATTTTGATAGAATTTGCAATATGGGGATGGTAGTCCATGTTGGAAGTGATTAAGGGATGCGTTACAGCATCTGCTAGGGGTAGCGGTTGCGTATAGAGTTGTTATGGAGGTTTACTTTGAATACAGCCAGATATCATAACTACATGTACACATATTTTCTCCTTATATTTTTTCAGGTAATATGATGCACTGTTAATGATGTTGTACAAGTGAAGGAAAGGAAAAACGGTTTTGTCTACAGAGGGAAAGAAAGGGGGGGGGGGGTTAGTGAGTCAATAATGGGAGAGAGATGGAGAATTGTAGAAAAGAAAGCTTGAACAAGAGAAGAAAGAAGAGATAAAAGAAAAAGGTCCTTTCTCTACTCTCTTCTCTTCTTACCTTCCTTCCCTTTACCTTCTTCCATCCTTCCTTTTTTTGCTTCCCTAACTTTATTTCTTTATCCCTTCCTTTCTTCCCTCCATCCTTTCCAATATTTCTTCTTAAATAATTGTACAGCACAGGACACAGGATTTTTAGACTTTAACCATTGGTTATATGCAGCAACCTTCAGGTGACTGTACACTGGCAAAAAAGAAGCAGCAGCGACAAGCTTATCTCTTTTACATGGAGAAGATGTGGGTCTGTCCTGTAATGTTGATTCAGGCACTGGATCCTGTGTGGGCGCTCACCTTGGCCCATTATACATTGTGTTGAGTTAGGTGCAATACAGGTCCAGAGCTGTGGTTTGTTGGCAACAGTGCCCTGCCCCTGAAGACCCCTTTAGGGGTATGACCATTGTGGACAGCGAAGACCGGATTGGGCTGACCCGCACCATCTTGCCCAAAGTTAGAAGATAGTTGCCATGGTAGGTTACACAGCTTGTGCTCGTGCTCCTACATCTTCATCTGCAGCAGAGTGTAGGCTGCAATACTTTAAATGGGTTGTTGCAGTCATGGAGTAGGAGCACAAGCCAATTAAATTTGATGCCATTTTTTCCCCAACCATCTTTTGCAAGTCTGTCACCCATCTGCTATTGTCTCAATTGCAGTGGTTTCACTGTGCATGGGTGCACTATTTTTTTGCTCTTGGTCGGCACCTGGCTCCTGTAGTATATGACACAGCGATCTTCAGACACCTTCCTGTGTTCAGCAGCCTGTAATGCCTGGCACATAAAGCTTTATCCTTCCCACTTCCCAGCAGTGAAGGTTGTTAGTACCCCTTGGGGGATATTTTGCACATCACATAGCAAATGGCAAGTGCAGGGGCAAGGGGTCAAATGGATGCACTAACTAAGATTTAACTCCTGGCTCCAGAGACGTGGTGAAAGTCTCTCTCTACAAGACCATAGTGCCTTCTGTTTGGACAGCCCCAATATGAATCCCTGCCTTCCTCCGCTCACACTTCCTCATGCTTCCTTCTACCTTTCAAGAGAGGAGTTTTCTGTCACCATGTTTGATTTTTTGGGCAGAGTCTCAGTCCTGTTGGAGGATGTACATCGTAGAGGTCGCAATAAGCCCCTTCAGTCTCTCCTCCAGAGTCACTTTCGCTTATGCAGTTGACAAGTTGCCTGAGGAGGAGGTAGATGACGAAGATCCACCTTCTTCTGAGGAATTGGATTATTATAAAATGCCTTTTGCTGAGATTTCATCCAAGCATGAGGATTTAATTGTTGTTGTTATTGACGCTCTTGTTTAGCTTTAGAGCAGCTTGAGTATGCACGCCTTAAAAATTTCATCATCAGTTCCCTAAAATTGCCCAGATCTGCTAAGATCTTCCCAGTCCTCTTGCTCCTAGAGCCTGTCTTGTACAGTGACTTGCCTCACCCTTTGTTCTTCCTAAACGTTTTCCATAGCTATAACCTTTTGAGCAGGGTTTTCTGCAGAAATAGACAGCCTTTGTGGTGGACACAGCCATTTCATGTCTTAATAAAACACTATCCTGGATTATCCTGTGTTCAGGGACCCAGTGGATAAGAGGTTGGAAGCCCCCTTAAAGCACTATTTTTATTAGTGGGTCTCACCATGCAACCATGCCTCCATGACAGTCTCCCATTCCTTAACTATCTAGACTAAATAAATGGCCAAAGACTCTTGATCCATCTTAAAGAGAAGTTCTGGCCCCCCATCCCTCCCAAAAAAAATTAAAAGTCAGCAGGTACAAATACTGTAGCTGCTGACTTTTAATATAAGGGCCCTTACCTGTCCAGGGATCCAGCGGTGTCCTCACCCCTAGCCGATTCTTAAATCGGCTGCCGGGTGCTGGTGCCGCCAAGCCTTGTGGCTTCACAACCAGTTTCCTACTGTGCATGTGCGAAGCATGCTGTACTTTGTGAATGTGCCCCTATCCTCTGGGACCTGTTGAGTTTCCTAGAGGGCTGCATGGGGGGCGAACTTCCGGTCAACACCAGGCACCCCCCCCAAAAGGTGCCAAATTTGGCTGCGGGGGGGGGGGGGGGGGGGGCGGGCGGTAGGAGGCAGATAAACAGGGCTTCCACTTTTGGGTGAAACTCCGCTTTAATGGATCCCTCCATTGACTACCACTGGGAGTTTTCACCTGTGCCCTTATTGTATTGCGTACATGGCTTTGCATATACTTTACATCAGATTTCCAGGATGAGCCTCATCTGCATACATATGCAGAAGGATTCTTTGGCTTAAATGCTGGTCAGCTGAACTCCCATGCAGGAAATACCTCAAGCAGCTGCCCTTCGATGGGGAATGCCTGTTTGGTCCTTCTTTGGAAAAGTACATCAAGGCAATCACAGAATGTAAGAGAACACTCCTCCCCAAAAAATAAACTTGCATTCCTGCAGGTAAACCTTCTACTCCTGAGACTAAGAAAAGATCCTTTCTTCTCTCTCAGGCCTCTAGTTCAAATTTTAAACACACTTTCATTAGAGGACATGGACCTCTAAGCCAGCCAAGTCTGACCCCAAGCCCTCTTGTCAGTAATGAGATGCTCCCACTTATCAGATTGGGGGACATCTATTGGCGTTTTTGGCCTTCTGGTTCCAAGAAATCTCTGATGCTTGAATCCAGTGTCATTTCCTGATGCTACAAACTGGATTTTTGGACTCCCTGATTCATGGCTCTCAAGTTTACCCCATTCCCAGCAAGGATGGATGTATCTTCTTGCTGCTGTTAAACAACCCCTCTCTCAAGGGTCAGTCCCAGCCAAGGAACACTTTCAGGGTTTCTACTTGAACTTTTTCCAAGGTAAAGTGTTTAGCCCATTCTGGATCTGAGAAGTCTCAGCCTGTTTTTGCAGGTTCGAAAAGTTTGCATGAAATTAGCCAGGTTGTTCATTGCCTCTCTCATTTCCAGGGAAATGTTTGGCCTCCAGGATACTTGCTTGTACATTCCCATATTTCCTCCTCACCAATGCTATCTGAATTTTGCTGTGGGTGCTCAACATTACCCATTTGTCACTGTCCTTTTTGACCTGTCCATGACTCTATGTTGAATCCACTGAGAATGGATCCATCTCCTGCTAAAGGGCCAGTACTCCCTAAGACTATCAACCAGCATCTAGTGAACCATGCAAATTTGGCTGGATCCTCGTTGCTGGAACCGACTCACTGATTAGAGTATATGGTCCTGACAGTGGATAAGGCCCTGTGCAGGGTCTTCCTGCCCTGGAACAAATGCCTGTCCCCCAGCTCATTTCCCAGGCCTTTCAGTCCCAGGGCTGGCTCTGTATTCATGTGTGCATGAGGGTCTTGTGCCTGATGGTAGCTTCCTTGCAATGCAATAACTC